CAGTTAGTATAGGAGGTACTACATTCTCATATTGACAGAGAGCAAAGAACTGCTTAAAGTGACTTCATTCTAATACAAAAGATTCTTATCTAATTGTGCTACATCAAGTGTCATCATAGTTTTTGCCAAGTTTAAGCTGGAGTAAGCTGACCTTAATGGTGTTTTAAATATGAATGGTATTTTAAATAAGTTTAGTTTACTGTTATCTTTCTTGGACACCAATTTTGATGGAAAAGGGAGATGAAGTCATTTAATATTTAATGTTATTTGGTAAAAGTTGGCTCATTATTAGCTAATCAAACTAAAAATGGTATCTTTGTTAATAAATTAAGCACATAGCTGGCCATGGTTGACCTTGAAAAACTAAGCAAAGTCAGACTTAATTAGTACTTGAATGGGAAACACCAGGAAATACCAGACTGTAGGCTAGAAAGAAAGGCAATCTATTTCCATATTGCTGTCAAGAAACTGACATGACTCTGTTCATGAAAACACCAGAAATCAAGTTTGTCTCAAAGGAGACTACATTTACTAATGAATAATGTAAACTAGAAAAAGAGAATTTTTTGTTCAGTAATTGCATGACCTTAATTATTAGCATAAGTCCAGCTTATGCTAACTGTTCTAGTACATTGTAATAAAGAGTCTCTACTAAGTTTAAATTTTTAGAAGTATTTAAAGTACATTCTAGAGCAAGGGTAGGAACTTGAAAAAAATGTCCTCTTTAGGTAAAAGTTGACAGGATGCATTACATTTAGTTTAATATTGTTGCAAGAGTTTAAATACATAAATGGTGGGCCACTGCACATTTCCTACAAATAACAGGATTTAAACAAGAGCTAGTGAGCTTTAACAGCTGTTGTTAAAGGAAGAGTGAGAATTAACTTTGTACTGGAAAATGGAGACGAGTAATTGAGTAAAAAGCCTCTGTTTGAAGAAACAACATTTCTATTTTGATGTTCTTAAGATTTTTCCCCAGTATTTCTCTATTTCTACTTAAGAGGGTTTTTTTTATTGCTAAGTATGTTCCCAAGTGTTACTCATCAGCATATCTCACAGGCCCAAGATCCAGCCAATGAACTCTATGTGGTCTCATTGTCTTACAAGTAAACATTTTCACTAAAATGTAGCTAATTTTCTTTTGAATCTGTGGGGCAGCACAAGTTAATACCTTATATTACTGTGATGTTTATTAGTACAGAGATGAACCAAATGTACAAAAACCTACAAAAATATATAAATGTGCAAAAACCTCAACATAAAAAAAAAAAAGAATGTCATGAAATTGATGTCTTTTTTTTTTCATCTGAATCTATTAACAACTCATGTGCTATTAGTTATCAGCCGATAGAAGACTGGAATAATGAACACCTATTTGTTAACTATTATTAGCTCATCTATAGTGGGAAAACATGTTTAATATGGCTGTGAATAACTTTTCCTGATAAAACACTGTTTTCTCCCCACTTCATTGCTATTCTTTTGGAGCAACATGGCTACTAAAACTGTATTAGCTATTTGATTGTACTAGCTGAAAAGCAGACCTTAAGGATATCCATGTGTAGAAAGTAAGGAAGATAATCTTGTAAATATTCAGGAAGCACTACCCAGGGCTGATACATTTTTAAAGTCCAGAATAACAAGATAACATTAAGAAGCAGCTCAGGCAGACACCTCCCAAATTTACTGAAGCATGAGAAGGAACAGCATAATCCAACTTGCAAGATTATAACCAATCCCAATAAAAGTAGTTTTAGCCTTCATGTGGTGTTGATTTCCTGGTCAGGTGTACCTAATGGGACTGACACCTGACACCTAGTTCTAATCTATTTCTGAGAGATATAGGAGTATCTTATGTAAAGGCTTTGTGACCAGTGACAATATATGTTTGTCTTTTCAGATCCCCAGCTCAAGGGCATAGTGACCAGGTTATATTGCAGGCAAGGCTACTACTTGCAAATGCACCCAGATGGAAGTCTCGATGGAACCAAGGATGACAGCACTAATTCTAGTAAGTACTTTAAGAAACTATTCGTTACCTATGCACAGACACACATACACACAATGTAGAGGTAACCATTCCAAGATGAATATTCATCCATCATCTGTATGGCTTCCATGTTTTTTATGGTTCTTGATGTGCCATTTTATTTTTAAAATAATCTCTGTTTCATATCTGAAGAAGAAGCATCTCTTAAAGAGAGTTACTGGAGGCCTACTCAGCTTAACAAAAATAGTTTCAGGTTTGTGTGAAACACTTGCTCTGTTGACTTGAAATTTATTTCTGCTACCTGGTTTTAGGAAGGTCCTCAGAAACTGAAAAGAGCCATCCCACCCTTTTACCATCATTGAGTTAAACTAGTGAGTGCTCTATTCCTGTCTGCCAAAGACTGGAGAAAACTTGTAAGCAACACTCCAGAACACATTCCCTCAGTCTGAATTCTTTAAATACTGCTTTCTTGATCAGCAGTCTTTGCTAAAGTATAATTCAGGGAGACTTTCATATAGTGGCCTGAAATCACTTAAAAACAAAAAAAAAAGTAGGTACTGCCTAAGAATCACCATGAATAGAATGATCACACAGTGCTATCAACTTTTCTTTGAGGTTCTAGGTGTTTTTGGGGATGGGAGAGAAGAAGGGATATCATTTTTATTTTTTGTGTCAAGATTTAAAATTTCTATTTCATTTCTTCTGAAATGGCATGATTTGTGGTATCTTTGGAGACCAGAAATAAAGGGGAAGAGGGTCAATCCACCATTGCTCTTAAGTTCTGCACATCTATATGCCATTATAACTGCAACAAAAAAGAATCTGTGCTATAGAATTTACCAGTCTTTTTCTAGTTCTTTTCATATATATTATCAAATGGTTGGTTTGATACTATTTGTATCAAATTTGTATTTGTATCAATTTGTATCAATAGTACAGTTTGTACTATTTTCATACATGATGCTAGAAGTGACTGAACCAGGATATGACCAAAGCTCAACACTTTAGGTCTTAGGTAAAGAATTCTCATATAACTGCAATCCTTCTAGCTGTAACATGGGGATTATAATACTGATTGTATTATGGAATGGTTGTAAAGATTACTGGGTTATTTTTTTTCTTTGAACTTCCTGAAGCTGTTATATAAATGCTAAGTATTATGACTGCATGTCTGTAAAAGACATTCTTCCCTTATTTCTAAAGTTTCAGGCCCCTTTCCTCAGGTTTTCTCTTGCTTAATGTACGATATTTGTGAATATGGCATTTCTGAATACTAAGTTTGATATTCCTCTCAAAATGTAGCATATTCAGCACAGGCAAATTTACCGATTGATTGATTGATGTAGCCCTCCATCTTGTAAAAATGTGACTCTGGGTGGCATACAATAGTAAAAACAACATTACAATATCCCCAGAACAAAACAACACAAAATCAACGAAGATAACAAACACAAAGTCAGGGCACATCAGTATATCCTTCACCTCCCAAGATGCTTTATCTAACATCCTGGCCCAAAGCCTGAGGGAACAGACAGATCTTCAAAGCTTTCCTGAAGACTAACAGGGTCAGGATCAAATTTCTGAGGGGAGATAATTCCACAGGGCAGCTGCCACAACTGAAAAGGTACCTCTCCTAGATCTCATCAGATGGCATTGATTCAAGAAAAAGATCTGCAGTATGCCCATTCTATGGAGCATATAGGACAGGCAGAAAGACAGTCCCACAAATAACCTGACTGTAAGTCATGAAGGACTTTATAGGTAATAACTGGCACTTTGAATTGCACTTGGAGACCAAGTTCACCAAGTAGAGATGCCACACAGGTGAACCAAGGTGGAGAAATTCTTTTGTCTATGTAGTTCTTCAATAACCACATTGTTGGTTTGCTGTACTATTTTCATACATGATGCTAGAAGTGACTGAACCAGGATATGACCAAAAAAAAATACAAATGTATTTATGGTTTCCAAATCTGTCTGGCATTAATTGAAGAGTTTCTGAGCTAATTTAAAGTTCCGTCTGCACTAGTCTAAGAGTGTGGTTGAACTTGGTCACTTTATTGTTGTCCTATAATATATTCAGAGTTAAAATTGGAGCACATGACTGGGTTTGCAAGTCAATATACTGTAAATGGCTATGGTGTGGTTCAGTGAATGGGTGAACCTCATGAATGTAGATTCAATAAGCCATGGCTTAGTGCAAGAAAGGACTTCTTTTTTTTTTTTTCCCAGTCTGTGGGAGAGAAATTTGGGTTTTCTTTTTAAGAGTGCTAAGGTTTTGCTCTTAACCTCTCCCCAAATGTTCCTTTCCAAAAAAACAGACAAGTCCAAACATTTCAGCGTCACAGACCCTGGGAGGGCTTTGATTACCACAAAGGGGCTGCAAAGAACACATTCAGTTCAGAGGCCGAGAGCTGCCTCCAGCAGGTTCTATGAACACCACCTTCATAACTGTGAATGGGATTTCAGTTATTACCTATTTTTTTCTATCATGATAAATAGCGTGTATAAAATGCTGTAAGCTCTGTTTATTATATCAACAATTTTATTCATGGCTTGGATGTCTTTATTTGGCTTCCCTGTGATAGGTCTTCTTTATTTTTACAGCATTGTTCAACCTCATACCAGTGGGACTTCGAGTTGTTGCTATCCAGGGTGTAAAAACAGGCTTGTATATAGCCCTAAATGGAGAAGGATTCCTTTATACATCAGTAAGTAGTATACCATAGCAGCTGGTTTTAAGCGGCAGTAAAGCCAATCCACTCATAAAAAATTATCTTGGGATTCTCACAGAAAAGACAAATTCAGATGATGCATTTTCATTTTAAAAGCTTGAAAATTCATATTTTATTCTTCTATATTATTTTATTCAGATAAAAATGGAAGGTGATAGGTTTTCCCTAAGAAAATCTTTGTCAGGACTAGGATAAGAAAATCTGTTTGATAGGCAAATTCCAAACTATATTGGAATACCAATGTTTTCAGTGAAAGGGATATAATCACATGCTTAACTCTTCTATTGAAATCAATAAGATTCTAATGTACCTCACTACATAATAATGTTTCAATATTTTGAGCAGAATGATTTAATAATTGTTTACAATAGGTTACAATTTGGAAATACATTAAAGTGGTAATTTTTAAATATAAAACATGCACACTGTTTTACATGATTTATTATGTTTGTGTACCTATCACATGCATATTTCATTCTATGCTTTTTTTCTCTTGGAAGCAAAATATGAGGTTTTATTTATTGTATTGACTGTTAAATTTACACCTCTCCTTTCTGTTCATATAAGGCTGCTTACAATAATAAAAATATCAAAACATATACAGTATGGTTAATGTAATTCAAATAATTAAAATCAGTATAATTAAAATCAGTTAACAGTTTGAAGGTTGTCAGAACAGAAATATGTTTTTTCTAAATCCTGGGAAAGTTGGGAATGGCTTCCACAGCTGAGAAGCAACAGAGGAGAGGATCCTCTTCCACATATTAGATCAGTGATGGCAAACCTTTTTGGCTAAGCATGTCAAAAATTTGGAAAATGCCTAACTTTACTCTGCTCGTGTGTCATTCTCCCTTCCCCCTGAACGAAAGAGAATTCTTTACATATCCATTTATTTTTTTAAAAAAATACAGTGCAGTCGTGTGGTGCTATGTATTATATAAAGAAACATCAAATAATTACAAAAATGAAATACAAGTAAAACAAACTCAGTTTCTTTGGTAACTCAAACAGGGAGAATTGTTGGGTGTTGGTGAACACTGGTGCGTCACCCAAAACATCGTGGTGTGTCATCTTTGACATGCATGTCATAGGTTCACCACCACTGTACTAGATAGATAAGAGTGGGGTCATCTTGTTCTGAGTTCATAGTGGGAAAGCAATTCCCTCAGATACTTAGACTCTTTTAAAAGTCAACATCAGAACCTTAAATTGTGCAGTTAGCAAATAACAGTTAGTGCAGATCTTTCAGTGCACCATATTCTTTCTCTTCCTCACCCCATTTAGCAGCCTGACCACTGTAGCTGCCATTTCAGGGCACTTTTAAGGTAGTCCTGAAATCAAGGCATGGATAATGATCATTAAGTCTGATTGGCTCAGGAAGGGTCACAGTTGGCACATTAGCCATATGTATGCAAAAGCACTCATCCCAGCTGTCGCTAGCAAATCTGGTGACAGCTGAAGGTCAAGAGGCACTCATAAATTCCAAACCTGCTCTTTCGAGGGGTGTGCAAGTCCATGCCAAACACAATTTGCCTCAACCTCCACGTCCAGTTTTCTGTTACCAATAACACCTCATCTTATCTGGATTTAATTTCAGTTTATCTTAATCCAGCCTCATTATCAAAATTAAGCAACATGCAAGGGTACTAATTGCTGCCTTGGAGTTTGATGACAGAGAAAAGTAGAGCTGGTCTCATCAGTACACTATTTGCAATTACTCTAAAGCTCTAGATGATGTCTCTTAGCAGTTTCATGCAAGGCATGAATAGAGCCTTGAGGAACACTATAAATCAGCAATCAAGTTGTTGAACAGTATTCCTCCAGCATACCTTCTGGGTATATTTTGACAGAGAGGATCAGAACCATTGCAAAACAGTGCCCCCAAGACTCAAAAGCCACAGAGAGATCCAGGAGAACTAGCAGGGTTGCACCCTACTCCCAATTTCCAGTTTAGGTCATCCACTGAGATGACCAAAGTAGGCTCAGTGTTACCTTACTAAAAAAGGAATAATTGACACTGGTGTCTAGTTACAAATATCTTGCCTGATATCTGTGGGCAGCCCTGACCATGCTGAAATCAAATACATGTTTAGGGAGGAACCAGCATTGTGGTAGTAGACTTATATGCTCTCAAACGAGAGAAAGCAGGAGGAAGACAGTTCTGTTCACCTCCTATTTCCATTTGGTCAACAGAAACCAATGATGCTGCCTAGATTCCATCCTTAATTTCTGTTTAGTTATGTAGATATGTGTTAATCTCTACCACTGAACTAAAGCTGCTTAATTTTGAGATGAGGGTGTCTGTGGCCAATTATGAACATGGCACCATATAATTGTTAATCTAATTAAAGTTGTATGCCCACAGGAGTCTTCTGTTTAATGGGTTCCTGCACCGTGTACTGTGGATCCTTATACATGAAGGTCTTCTCTGTTTAATGATACAGACACAAAAGCCAGCTTCCAGCTGTGCCTGCCCTTTCCTAGTACATAATATATATTTTAAAGAATATATCCTATTAGAAAAGATGCATATTTCTTTATGCTTTCTACACGTCCTGCCTAAAAATATATGATGAGTTGCCACTGTGATGATTTATTTCATTTAAAGGAATGTAAAAAATAGTATGAAGCTCCTGTTATCCTTAATAATAATTTGTTTGGCATCGATGAGGATGTTCCCAAAGTTAATTAGGAGGAAATGTTCTAATGACTTACATCTCATCAGGGTAAAAATTAATCTTGTACAGCATCTCTCTATTATACATTGAAGCATGACATATAGGGTCTATGTTTTCTGTACACCACTAGAAGTATGGCATAAAGGAAGCAAAACATAAAATATATATTATTTCAGTTGAAGGCATGAAATGTTACCTCACTGTTAGTTTCTTTGTTTCATTCAATAGTATTTGCTGATCTAAATGTTGGTCAATATGTATACATTTGTGTATTTATATGTACTATTGTGATTATATTTAGTCTTGGGCATTTTCAAGATGGTTATTGGACTGGCCTGCATTTCTTAAAAAGAATGGCTCAATTATAATACCTCAGTAAGGTAAAAATAAATGAATGCTTTTGTAAAGAAGAATTGGCTTGCTTTCAACAATTGCACTATAAATATAAAAATGTGTTGTGGCAAGGCCCAGCAGGTAAAACATGTCAAAACAGAGCTGAACATTAAACTGAGGAATGGAACACATGTTACAAATAAGATGCTTTTTTATATCCATGTTTCATTGCTGCCATTTTGATTTTAAATGATATTATTTTAATATTTCAGATGTAGAGTTTGCTATTTAGAATTTAGTATGTGGAAAACATAGGTGAAGTAGCATATCTGTTGGCAGCTGCTATGTATTTGTTGGTGGCCATGTACTAAAGGGCTAGCATAGGAGGTCATCTGTCAGTTCTGAAGGTCATCTGGAGTGAGGTAGCATCAATAATAAATGTTTTTAAATGTTTTAAATAAATAATGCACTTTCCATGAGGCTGCCTTTGAAGACTATCTGAAACTGCAACTAGTCCAAAATGCAGCTACCTGATTATTGATGGGCCAGTCCTGGTTCAGTAGCATCATACCCAACTTGTGGGAGCTATATTGGCTACCAGAAGGTTTCCAGGGAGAACTCAAATTGTATAAAAGTCTATAAAAGCCTATCTGACCCTGGTGCTTTACTCTTATGGGCCTGCCTCCTCCAAGTAGATTCTTCAATCCTCTGCATACTATGCAGGAAGCACTCTTGGTAAATTCCCTCTTCCCAGCAATATGGAGAAAGCCTTTCTCTATACTGGTGTCTAGAATTGTCTTCTCCAAGCTGAAAACGCCCCCATCTTTAATAGCATTCTTAAAGCAGGTGAAGTCCATCCTCGTTTTTGGAGCCTTTGGATGATAGAGGAACAATGATCATTATTTTTCCTGGGGGTTTAACTTATGTTTTTAGCAGTTAGATGACTGTGTGGCCCTATAGTTTATGATGATTTTAGTTTTTTAGATTTTATAGGTGTGTTATTTTTGTGACCTACCCAGAGTCTGGGGAAATGGATAGCATACAAGTGATGTAAAACAAATAACAGATAGATAGATAGATAGATAGATAGATAGATAGATAGATAGATAGATAGATAGATAGATAGATAGATAGATAGATAGATCGACCTACAGGAATTAAATACTTTGATGAGAACATAATTCATAAAATGATAGTAATCATTGAAATGTTCCATAAATCTCCATGGATACTATAATCTTTTTGTGTAATGCCATTATGGTGCCTTTTACACAATTTCCTTCATCTTTTATTTCTCAACAGATAGATGTTTTTGTATTGAAATATCTCTCATTTTTAACCAAATGAAAATGAAAATCTTTCCACAAGAATAGCATCTGGTCTGTGAAAGCTCAAGTCATGAAAAATGTGCGATCGTTGCTTAAGCCCTGAAAACATTTATTATTAGAGGCGATCAAAATCTTGATCTTCACGTTAATGACTGTATTTGTTTTATCTGCATACAGCTTAAAAGGGAAATATTCTGAAAGAGCACTGTCTTTTATTGTTCACACATGATTTCCCTTTTTCTCCTCAGGGATGGATGATCATGGTTTGAAGGAACTTTCATAGTGCTAGAAATGGTGAAATATTGCTCTTTGAGAAAAAAGTCATTTTTCATTATAACAGAACAATTAATGTAAGTTAGAATCTAGTCAATAATTTTTTTCTTTAGTGGTTATTTAAAGTTTCTTTGCTTAAGCCTGGGTTTTAATTACTATTCCAAGCACTTTCTTGAATTCAGGGCCAAGCTTCAAGGGAGTGAATTTTTATTATTGAATATGTTATATTCAGGAGTACAAGTCATCTTTAGTTATTTTGGTGCTGGGCAAGCATTTAGTGACCAAGGGCAGCATTTAATATGAATGTATTTATTTAAAAGATTTATATAGCCACCCATGTTATGGACCATAACTCTAGATGGCT